ATAAAAATAACGCTTATGAAGTGAAAGTTGTTTTTTGTTGGCAGGACAGTGTTTTCTAACTCTTCAGCCATTGGGATCCAGCAGTTTGTTTAGTGTCTGAGTCCATGAGCATTTACAGCCCCACACCCCAGAGCATACACAGCTACACATGTGCCCTGTGGTATCCCCAGCGTAGACACGGCATCTGCTGACAGAAGGTGCTTTTCTGCCTCTGCAGCTGCATGTTTTCTTCAGGCAACCTAACCTGGGCTGGCAAAGGGGTGTAGGCTGACTCACGGATATAACTGCATCCACACCTGGGGTTTTCTTGGCTTAGCAGTGTCTCCTACAGTGTGTAATCTCTTTTATTCTTCCACTTTTTCACAAATCCCAAGCCTGTTCTAATAGAACCCAGTAGCATAAATGAAGCCTGACTCATGTTTACTCTACATGTAAAATGTAAAGCAGGTGATTGGGAAAATCAGGAACGATTGTTCTTCTGCTTCTTGGCTGCCATTTCCTTTAGCTATGGAAGAACCTTAGGCAGCAAAGTGAGTCAGTTTGGAGCTGAATCCCATGTTCCTATTTTTATAATCCAAATTTGGGAGTAGGAAAAAAGTAACAGGAAAGTATGTTGATTTTCATGCTGTTTTCTGTGGGCAGTTCTCTATTTCTTTGCACAGCAGTGTGCAGAATTGGAGTTTATTGCTCCGACTGCTGTATTGTTCAGCTATAGAGGTGCTTGATGGTCAGAGCCAAATAATGTCTTGTTCCTGATTACTCTCTGACTTCTGTTTGCTTTTTTTTCTCCTTTTAGTTGGAAATGTCCCTTGGAATGAAAGCTGCCAAGCTGTGATTCTCTCTGCCTGCACTGCATGCAAGCACCTTAATGTGCCTCAGAGAGCTTCCTAGGTGGTTTAGGCATGGGGCGAGGACAGATGAAGAGGTAGAGATTGATGGGTTGCAAAAGCAAGACACTGTCACTGGACACCGAGCAAAGAGGGGTGAACCTTACCTTTAACACTGGGCACCAAATGGTTCCCTGGTTGGTATACATACCAGAAAGGGACAAAAACACATAGGTCTGGGTGCAAGGAGAAAACCCAGCTGAAGGCTGCCTTCTGTTTGTAAGTGAATGACCAGCCCGTGTTAGTCAGTGGTGCACAGCCACTGGACACAATCTCTTTGTCCATAATGGCATGTGTAGAATCGTGGATTTACTGTATCACAGCGCATTCTCCATCAGTTTCACATTCATTTGAGGTCTAGGTGGATGTTTTGGATTTTGTTTCTATTTTATAAAAAGAAGACGGGGGATCAGATTGTATCTCCAAGTAGTTTTGAGCATAAATGAAGTATGGGATGCTCTCCTCTTTAGTCAAGCCCATAAATCAGGTAGTTGTGTTACTTTGTACTTCAGTCTGAACTCCCAGTTCAAATTGTTGACAGCAAGAGTGAGGAGAAGACTCCAGATTGAAGACAGTACAAATCAGAGCTGTAGTTGCATGGGAATTGGTGGTAGCAACTCCACATGTGTTGCTGCACGTTCCCCTTACAAAATGTTCCTCCTTTTTTTTCTGAGAAGCTTTAACAAATCCCCAGTTTGCAGCAGACCTTTCCAGTTTTCCAAAAGAAAAGCCCTTTTCTTTCTGTGTGCGGTTCTGAGTTTTGCTGAGTTAGGAGCCGTTGCAGATCACTGTTTCTCTATGTCATCTTGATAATGAAAATTTTAAGGCCTGTGTGACTGCTTCTATAACAACAAAGAACACAGTACAGAGTGCGCTCCTGGGATCCTCTGAGTATGTGCATTATGCATAGATATACTGATATTGTCTTTGGTTATACGATCAAATACACTTTTTTGGTATAGTACTTCTGCTTCCTTCAGGGCTTGGTGATGCTCCCATTGAAACTCTCACTGACTTCTGTAAAGCAGAATCAAAATATTTAAGAAGAAAGTGGACACACAAGGGCAGCATTAAATGCATAAGAAAGCAGAAATTTGGCATTTGCAATTTTTTAATTGTTCAGACAAAATGACTGCTGCTTTTTCTTCGCATGCAGGCAGACAGGATGCATGCAGTACATCTGTATTTTACACCTACACTACGCATTTTATTTGGTAATTTTTTTTTCTTGGATAAGCTTTGAGAAAATGATAACTTATTCTTTATATTTGGTAACACTGCAGAAAATTCTTGAATTATTTATTTCATGCATTTTAGCTTAGTGTATTTGGATGCCTGTAAGCTTACTTTCTAGCTGATTGGGTGTTTGAAATTTCTAAATAAATAGTGGTAGTTTGAAATACCTTGCCAGAAAAAGAGGTCACCCTCCTTCCTCTTCCACTGTCTCCTCTGGGGAAAAAAAAAAAAGAAATCCCACATGCCTTCTTACGAGTGGTGGGAAGTTGATTTGTAAAACAGATGCTGCATAGAAGTAATTGAGTTGAAGTTGCTAGAAATATGTATATGCTACACAACATCTGCAGATCTCAAGATGTATTCATTATCTTTCCAGAATTTAGATTGTAATTATGGGTCCTTTATTTAAGTTTCCATGGTGATATAGAAAGTGTTTCCCCCTTGTCCTTTCCTAATCAGGACACTTGTATATTTGAATGGTGAACGTTTTTCTCTCCCCTGGGTAAAGTTAGTTTTATTAATACAGAGATATTAAGTTGACACGGAGCTGTCTGTTGCTCAGGAAGAATTTCAGCAGCAGACTATCAAGCGTTGGCTACAGATTCCCCAGTGCCACCATTTAATTAGCCTGTATGCTTCCAAATGCCAGTAAGAAATAGCATCCAGTGTCATAACGAGTGACGCAGTCATGCTTTGGGGATTGGTAAAGTTGAAGTCAAAGTCAAGCGGTCAATAACATATTAAAGTGGGCCAAACTCCTCCCCCTCCATCCCTTCAACCTTCTTCTCTTGTAGGAAGGGGGCTCCGCTCTGTTCTGCAGGGAGTTGCACGCAGGTCGCCCAGGGAGTGCCTGTACGGTCCCGGAGAGCTGCATCCATGTGGCCTTTGCAAAATTTCTTGCAACAACCAGAACTGAACACTACGTTAATGCACATTTATTTAAGTATACAGCCTCATGCCCATGGACCCAAGATTTTAATATTACAGTTGTTTTAGAAAATGGTGAAAAATGTGGCCTAATTACTGAGGATGGTATCTTACCTCGGATTTTTGGCAAACTCTTTGAGTGAAAAGTGGACTTCTGTTTAAACTGGAATAATTTTTATTTTTTATCTTAAATACCCAAAAGATATACACATCTAAATACAACTTACTGGCACTTACTGAGCACTTAAATTAATTTTGTAGAGGTTGCATGAGCTGCAGGTAGTGAATTGACAACACAGTTAGATGAAAAGGAATGTTTAGTTTTTTATGTTTTGGTTATTTGAATAGACTGTAACACATTTAGGCCACAGGCGCCTGAAATCATTTCTACTTAAAAAAAATTCAAAGAAACATATACAGCTTACATAAAAATAATCAATTTTTATGATAGCTGGTCACTGACCATTTACAAACTCGTGTCTAAAACTTCTTTAATTTTTATCAGAATAGGAATGCTTAGCTTTTCCCTCCATCTGAGAGCAATTTTCTAGAGGGAGCAGCAGGCGTATTGTCAAGCTGTGGCAAATCAGAGCAGAGGGTCAAATCTACTGGCGCGGCGGCACGGCAGCAGCCAGCTCTGCGGGGCTGGCGGGGGGAGCGGTTTGCCCCGGTACCGCCGGCTTCCTCCCACTGTCCTCATGGCCCGGGGTGCCGAGAGCTGTCTTCTGTGCCTCAGCAGGTGAACTCAGGAGCAGCGACAGCAGTTGTCATTTAGTTCATACTGCAGATTTTTTAATGGACCTAAGGCAGCGTGTGAAGGCAGGATCCAGTTTCCCTACCTGTGGCTGTGTGGTTGATGTGAGATTTGAGGTGGAAAAAGGTGCTTTCCTTCCCAAACGCGGGCTGCCTCACTGAGAAAGCTGCCCTCCACCCCTTCGCCTGCCGTGTCCATTCGTTCAGCTGCTCGGGTTTGCCGTGGCGATTATCAAAGCGAGTCTTGGCAACCGTATCATACGCTTCATGCTCAGGAGCAAGCGGCAGACGGACCGCACCTGACAGCTGCCTTGCTCACACGCGCGTACGCAGACATGCCCGGTGTCCCCACTGCTCCCTCCTCTGTGCACGTCGGTGGGCCAGAGCATCCTGCTGTTGTGCTTCCTTGACGCGGGTGGCAGGAAGATCAGCAAAATGCCTCTGTGTTTTCATCCTGGCAAAGCAAGGCCAAGTCTATCTAGTACGTACGGAACCCTCCTCCCCCCGTCTGGCGGGTATTCGCGCACTGGTGAGGGTGCAGTCATCTCACATTCAAAGCACATGTTGGTGGCGGGAGGGGAAGGGCACTCAGAGGGACATGCTCAAATGTGTATCTTCACTTTTAAGGGTCACAATTTACATTGGTCTCCCGAGTTGCTCTGCTGCTGGCAGGTGGAGTCAGCAATGCCTGTTAGCCACGTGCCATATTTCTGTGTTAATGATATTACCCAGAGCGCGCTATGTCTCAGTTGCTTTTTCTGCCCAGAAGTTCCCTCTCCACCTTAGCAGGAGCTGCAGGGGAATGGAAGCTTGAAAAGGTTTTTCAAGTCCTTTGCGTACTACTTTGTCTTTGCATATGCTAATGATTTTACAAGTGGTTTTCTGTGTTTTGTGTCTTTCTTTGTGCTCTGCTCTGTTAAGTATCTTAAAAAAAAAAAAAAAAAAAAAAAAGGTAACATGCAGTTGGGCAAAGTCTAATAATATGTAAATATTGCTGCTACAATATGACATTCACAGACTTTCCAGAGGTTTGAAGAAGCAGATGATTCTCAAGTTCATTCCCCAGTCCTCCCTAAACCTTTGGTCCCCTTTTTCTCCCCAGAAGGTTCATCTGAGAGCCAGATGAGTGCCGTGTCATCTGTCTTCTTGGCCAAGGGCAGCAGACTGTCTAAAGACTGAGTTATGTTTTTCTCCCAGTAAACAGTTACGGGGAGGATGAAGAACAGACAGCATCTTCAGGCTGCGATGATGGGGTGATTAAGCAGTTTGAGAACTCTGTGTCATGCTCACAAAGTTTTCGATCAGAAGTATCTGAAAAAGCAACACCACCGGGCGTGGAGCATAGACCCAAATTCAACCATTTGCTCTCCAGCCATGAGGAGTACAGTACAGAGGTATCTGAATGCAAAGGTACTGTTTGCATGAAATGAGATTAAAGAAGTTTGAGTCTAAGATCTGTAGCCTCAACATTGAGATGTTCTTTTGTTTTGGAGAACAAGTCCTGAATCTTGCTTTCTCTCTTACTAAACTTGGTTTCCATATTAGTTACTTGCAGCTCATTTCTAAAATACTTAGAGGGAAGAGTCTGGATCCAAGCCCTGCCGAAGTCCATGGAGATCTTTCCATTAACTGAATATGGCTTTTGAATACTAACTCCTAATACACAGGGGTTTTCATGGATTTTATTGCCAATTTTGCCAGAGTAAAGACTGCAGGACTTCGTCTAATTATTTTTGATCTGTGCCACTTAAGTCATCTCTTTAAGCAAGCCTTTTAGCAGAAGCTGAATGTCTCCTTTTGTAACAGCTTTGCAAACACAAGGTGAACAGTGAATGAATTATGCTGTATCATTTGCCAGCACATATGCCAAATGTCAGGCACTGACGGAAACTAAAAATTTATGGCACAGAAGGAAAGAATTTTATGATCTTCTATGGACTAATGTAATGACTCTTTTATACAAACAGAGATGAAATGCATTTAAAAATGTAGCTACTTAGAAAATTGGCCTGAACACATTCTAAAATCTGGAGAAGTTCATTAGAGGGAAAAGCCATGAAAGTGCCCTTTGTTTTTAGTTCCGTAGAATGTTTTAATTTTGAAATACAATTGCTTGATTTTGATACACCCTCTGATTAGAGCGATCATTTAAAGATATGGCTCCATTGAACTCTTCTTCTGGCACAACATGGTGCAGAGTTGCTCTTTTCTTTTCAGAGGTTGTATTAATATTGTTTAAATAGCTGTTCAGAAACTAGATGAAACCAGATGTTGAAGCCTGCGTTCACTAAGACATTCAGTTCTCTGCCTCATTACTTAGTAAGCTCAAGATTAGACCCTTTGTTACTAACAAATGCCTATAAACTAATCTTTGGGTATGTCAGGTGTCCTTCAAACCCAGAGAGGCTTCTGAGGCATGTACAGCTGTTGTTCCTGGGAATACAGCGATAGCTGCACACCCCCACAGCTCCCGATACGAGACGTTCATCTGGGAGAAAAGCTGAGTGGTTGGGGTAAATCCTAGATAACCCCACACCCTGCTACCCCCCAGTTGCTGATCCAAGAACTCCATGTGTGTGAGAGTCCATTTTGGCCCCTAGCAGGTGCTGTGATCACAAAACACAGAAAGGTTTGTGGGTGTAAAGCCATAATTGTGCCCAGAGGGTGTATCGCTCAGCTGAGCAGATCCTCTGGACCTTTCTGGATGGGAGGGATGAAGGGTTTTTGAAAGTGCTGAGTCCAGACTAGGATCATGGCACTTTCAGACCATCTTTAGACTCTGCCTGAGACTTCTCTTCTGCTTGTGTTCTCTTAACAGACCTTTTACTCGTAGAGCTGGTAGTTTTCTTTTCTTACAGAATCAGAAATCTATAACAAATTTAGGCATACAGCAAAGTTGAACATCTCACTTCTCTCCCACTCAGCCTTGACATACGGCAAAGTCTTCTCACATCATGTTCTTACATGAGATTTTCCTTGACCCTTTGTTTCTGTTATCAATGTCATGACAGTCTGCACTTTGGACTCATTTAGCATTAACTTTTCACCTGTGAAAAATCTTTGTAGTAACCTGAATAGAGCTTGGAAAGAGGAGTACACACTGCAGGAAGTAAGTGTTTGGAGGATGCTCTGGGGAGCTGAATGGCTTGAATGCCAGCTCTGCCCACAGCCTCTCTGCAAATCACCCTGTTAATAAAGAGCCCATTTTAGTTCTGGAAACATGGAGTCTTCTCAGGCTATTACCCAGCATGTGGTAAATTAAACAATCTTGGCCTGATTGCATAATGTCACTTGAAATTTAAGATCCTTTTTCTCTTTAACCCCTAAAATTTACAAGCCATTTTTGTTTCGATTTATTGTAATTAGATAATGATTCTGCTCCTTTGAGGCTCTTCTAGGAAGTTTTTTAGCACCTTTTGATGGCTAATCTCAAAATAACCAGGGGCAGGAGCACTGCTCGGTCTGCCTGCATCTGGTTTGGTTCAGTGCAAGGGAGAATGTGGTGCCAGAGTACTGCAGAGTGATTTGGAACTGGGGCTGTAGCAAGGGCCAGGCAAGAGGATTCCTGCTGTATGAGGGCAAATATGCCTCAGTCCCACTAACTTGTATACTTGCTGCTGCTACTGTCTTTTAGGGAGAGGGGTTTGAAAATCACTGCTAGTAGTTAGGAGGACTTCAAGTCCAGAAGTACCTAGATCCATACTGATATTTTTTCCTCCTCTGGACCATATTTAAACAGATTATTAGCTTTCAGCATGTGTTTACATACAGTCTAGAAGAAGGAATCAAATTTCATTAATTTTCAAAACTCACAAAGAAAAGACATACTTTTTCTTGTAAAAGCACAGTGTTTCACTGCAGCCCACAGAGTAAACATCACCTCAGTCAGCACAGGCACACATTAAACTCTTCATCTTGTTTTTTCTTGCTGGTCAATGAACTGTGTGGTGTTAATTTAGCAAGATCTACTAGGCTTCATCTTTTAACTCTGGAAGTGTGTTTTAGGAAGTGATGAGGCCTCTCAGAACATTTATTTGGCACGTGGTAATGTTTCATAGAACTGAGAGATTGTGTATCATTAAAAAAGAAGAAAAATACTGTAGGTTAACCATGCCATTTACCTGCCAGTGTGAGGGCGCACTTCACAGTATTTTCGCCTGATTTTCAGTGTTTGAGGTGCTGAGCTTTTCCTGTATCTTTGGAGAGATGCTTCCATATCCCAGTACCTGTTAGAGTTCTATTTGGAGGTGATGCTCATGCTTTCAACTGACAAAAGTTACAGTTTCTTCATAGCCAGTTCACCAATCTTGAATACAGACTTTCCTGATTTATTGGTGATTTCTTTTCCCCAGTATTCCCCTTTCCTCCTTCCTGGCTTGTGGACAGATGTGACACAACAGGGAAAGGCTGGGGGAGCAGGGCTGAAAAAGAAAAAATCACACTCTTTTAGTGTACAGTACTATCTGCCCTTAATTTTAGAATTGGCTGCTATTGCTCTGTGGGGACTCTTGACTAATTAAAGTTCAGATAGTTAGATAATGCTGTCTCAACCTATATCCCTGAGGCTGTGCTATTTATTCATGTCAGGTATTCATAAGACAGTTGACATTTTCTTCCTTAAAGATCTCTCAGGTAAATTACAGGCATTTTACTGCTCTGACCTTTTCCTTTACATGAAGAACTTCTGTTTTTTTTGTGAATGTAATGTTAGAAAGGATGTAATTGGAGAGGTGTAGTTGTTCGAGTCTGTGTAGTTGTGCTATTACTTGAAATGATTCTCTAATACTGGTATTTATAAGTGATTATCTCTTACCAAACTACTTCAAATGTGAAGAAAAAGCTAGACTGTTTCACTGAATGGTTTCGGTGAATCACCTTTCCTCTTCCTTTCCCTGAATACTACATTTGCTTTCCTAGCACACGCATTTTGTGCCCGAGTCTTAGGGAGATGGCTTGCTCTATTAATATATTTCTGGAGTTCTCCTGTTATGAATAGCCTTTTATGGCTTTAATGTAGTTTTTGAAAATTCCTCTATTATTGATCTAGATATTATCCCAGCAGGAGTCAAAACCACAAGACAATTGTGTGAGGATAATTTCTTACTACAGTAGCATTTTATTCTGAAAGCCTGCTGCGTGGTGTGTGCTTTGATGGATGACCCACTGTTTAAAATGTGTATTAGACATTGGCTTGCTAATTAAATGCCTTAAGGAGCGCCTGTTCCCATTCAGTCTCAGTAAATTTGTGGAATTTCTGTTATTTTATTTCTTGCTTATGTTCTTCTGTTTACTTCTTTCTGTTTTCTGACTTTGTAGAGAAGAATAAGAGTGATGGCAAAAAATCAAATTACTTTCTGCTCTCATTCAAGAGTTTCAGCTCACGGCAGAGGTGAGATAGTGAAGGCTCTCAGTTTCAGGACTAGATCTACCAGATAGGAGGATGAGAAAAGGTGGGTTTTGCATTTCAGAAGGGAATGAGAAGACCACTCACCTGGAATTTGAAAGATCTGAATTTGGATCCCTCTTCTCACCTGAGGGACTAGGTCCCATGTCTCAGAAGAGGACCATAATTGCAAAGCTGTGAGGTGCTCTCAGACTTCTCTGTTGAAGTGCTCATGCTTGAAGCATTTTACTGGGAGGGAGAATGTGAGACCATTCATAGTTGAAGGAAGGGCATAAAGTTATTCGCCTAATCCCTGAGCTGTTAAGTTAAAAGAGCAGCCAAGGGGAGGGACAGGGACTTGTCCACACCTCCAGGAAATGTTTCCTGAGTATAATCCCCATTCCTCTTGTTGGATTTTTTTTGTTTTTTGTTTTGTTTTGTTTTTTTTTTGTTTGAGCAGGTATGAATCAGAAACAGCATATTTGCTGCTAAGGCCAAACATAGAATTTCTTACTCAGAAAGATCTGGGCTTTTTGTTCTAGACAGGGGGATGTTCAGATAATCATAGAACAGCTTGGGTTGGAAGGGACCTTTAGAGATCATCTAGGCTAAGCCCCCTGCCATGATCAGGTTGTTCAGAGACCCATCCAACTTGACTGTGAATACTTCCAATGATGGGACATGCACAGCTTCAATAGGCAACCTGTTCCAGTGTCTCACCACCTCATAGTAAAGAGTTTCGTCCTTAGAGCTAATCTAAATCTACCTTCTTTCCGTTTAAAACCATTACCCCTTGCCCTACCACTACAGGCCCTGGTAAAAATTCTCTCTCCATCTTTCTTATAAGCCTACGTTAAGTACTGAAAGTAGCAAAAAGGTCTTCCTGACAACTTATCTTCTCCAGGCTGAACAACCCCAACTCTCTCAGCCTTTCTTCACAGAAAAGGTGTTCCAGCCCTCTGACCATTTTCATGGCCCTCCTTTGGACCTGCTCTAACAGGTTGATGTCTTTCTTGTGCTGGGAGCCCCAGAGCTGGATGCACTCCTCCCGCTGGGGTCTCACAAGAGCAGAGTAGAGGAGGAGTATCCCCTTCCTCGACCTGCTGGCCACACTTTTCTTGATGCAGGCCAGGATAGGGTTGGCTTTCTGGGATGTGAGTGCTCACTGCTGGCTCATACCCAATTTTTCATCCACCAGTATCCCCAGGTCCTTTTCTGCAAGGACTTTCTCAAACAATTTATCTCCCAGTCTGTACTGATACTGGGGATTGCCCTGACTCAGGTGCAGGACCTTACACTTGGCCTTGTTAAACTTCATGCTGTTCACATTGGCCCACGTCTCAAGCCTGTCAAAGTCCTTCTGGATGGCATCCCTTCCCTCACGTGTATCAGCTGTGCCACTCAGCTTGATGTCATCTGCAAGCTTGCTGAGGGTGCATTCAATTGCACTGCCTATGTCATTAATAAAGATATTTAACAGGACTGGTCCCAATATGGACTCCTGAGGGACGCCACTTGTTCCTGATCTTCATTTGGACACTGAGCCAGTGGATGCAACTCTTTGTATGAGGCCTTGCAGCCAACTCCTTATTCATGAGATAGTCCATCCGTCAAATGCGTATCTCTCTAATTTAGAGACAAGGATGATGTGTGAGGCCATGTCAAAGGCCTGGCCTTACAGAAGCCAAGTTAGATACATCTGCTGCTCTTCCCTTGTCCATCAATGCAGTCATTCCATCATAGGCAGTCACCACATTGGTCAGGTAGGGTTTGCCTTTTGTGGAGCGATATTGACTGTGTCTAATCACCTTCCTGTCATCCATATGCCTTGACATATCTTCCAGGAAGATCTGTTGCATGATCTTACTGGACACAGAGGTGAGACTGGCTGGTTGGTAGTTCCAAGGGTTGTCATTTTTATCCTTTTAAAGAATGGGTGTGAAGTTCCCCTTTTTCCAGTCACTGGGGGCTTTGCCTGACTGCCATGACTTTTCAAGTATGATGGAGAGGGACTTAGCAACTATATTAGCCAGTTCCCTCAGAAGGTCCCAAACCTGATCTTCTCCTACAATGGGTGGGACTTCATTCCTCTAGTCTCTGCTTTGAGGTTCAGGGACTCAAGAGATGTGGGATGAGCAATTGCCAGTGAAAACTGAGGCAAAAAAGTTGTTGGGTACCTTAGCCTTCTTCATCTCAGTTGTTACCAGGTTCCCTGTCTCGTTTATTAGATGGGGAATGAAAATACTTGTTCATCTAAACTGAAGCAAACTAATAGTTTTTTATTAAGCACAGTATTTAATACTATTTTGTAAAGATTTGAGTTTGACGCCAAATTTAAAAAAAATGATCATTCCATAGTAATGATGTTCTGGAGAACAAACAAGCAGGTAGCCCTGCTTTGACAGGGTCGGTGGAGCAGATGACCTCCAGAGGTCCCTTCCAACCTCAACCATTCTATGAAACCTTTAATCCCTAAATAGTTGTGATTGAAAATGAGATAATTCTCTTTTCATTACTGTCATCAGCTGTCTGGAAGCACAATTTGTTTTCTTCCACTGTGACTGCTCTTTGCTTGTTTGGAAGAGATGGAGGCAGAATCTAGCAATTTGTGTTCCTAAAGCAAGGTCTGGCATCAGTTGCATTAGGAGGAAGGTCCCTGGTTTTCTTCTGAAAGTGCTTGCAGAACACATCCAAGGCCAAATCATGATGTTATTTTCATCTATGTCCCTGCACATGTAATTATCTGTGTTGTTCCACCCAGAGAGCTCACACTGATGTCTAGTAAAGAAAAGTGCTGTGTGAAAATAGAGACTTCAGTGGTGCAGAAAGAATCTGTGGTCTGAACCAAAGATTATTTTATTCTCATTAATGAACCTTACTTTAACCCATGGAGTAAGAATTTAAGATGAGATGAGTTAAAGCTAATAAAAGCAGGAAGAATATTAGGGAACACATCTCTCCTCAGTTGCCCTTGGGACAGTTTAGCCCAAACATGGGATTTGGAGGTTCCTAGTTGGCTTGTGGGGCTGGTCGTGCACACCTGAGCTCTCAGGGATGGGTGATAGGGTTGTGGTGGCACTCTGTGAAACTACTTTCCTCACCAGCACCATCCCCTCTAGGGCAATGCTAACTCCTGTCCTTTCCTCCTCCTCCTCTTGCATAGAAGGAAGTTGCTGATACCTGTTCATCAGGCCTATGCTATGCTTTTCTGTAATTTGTCTGACCTGTGCTTTTATGGGCGTAATTGCTTTGGGGTCACAGAGCAGCCCCAAGGCACTTGAGTGCCCCAAACACTTCATTGATAATGGCATTTGGTTGTTAACTTCTTCAAGTAAAGTCAACCAGTTTCTCAGTTCAGGATGGAGTGAGAAGCAGCCATGTCCGCTCTATCAAGTGCTGATTTATATAGTATTTGTTAAGTCAAATGCTGCAGTTCTTAGAAGTAGAAACTGTCTCTTGCATACACTGGAGATGAGGGGAAAAAAAAAAAAAATAAAAAATAGAAAAGCACATTTTGGGAGGGAGAGGGGGAAGAATGCATTCTAATCCCTCTGAAATTATTTTCTTTCTGAAAATTGTTAGATCTGGATGGACTAAGCCAGCTGAGTTACCAAGACAACCTATCCTACTGTGAAGATGGCCATGTATCTGTTGATTCAAGAACAACGTCTGAGAGTAGGGGCACTGGGCAGCATAAAGGGACAAGGATGGAGTGTGGCACTGCCGATGGCGTTAGCCGGCAAGCCACGGAAGGACGTTTGGAAATGGCAACGGCATTTACGAACCGGGGATTTGAAGTAAATGATGCCATTGACAGCTCATCAGCTTGGAGCCCTGAGGTATGGTGAAATGTCATTTGTAACACATGATGTAAGCTTTTGAAGGATATTGGGGGCCAAAAAATGTTAGAGGAGAAATGAAGCAAAAAATTGATCAGCACAGCACAAGGCAATAGTACTCCTGTGTGCATGTGTGCATAAACTTAACCCCCCCCCCCCATGTATTTCCCCTTTTTCTGGTATTTTACCTCTTGCTACTTAAACTCATTTAGAGAAGCTGCTTTATTGCTTGGTTTCTAACTGCAATCTCTGAACTGAAATTGGAGTCATTAGCTGTCTAACAGCATTTACTATAATTTAGCAAAGAGCACTCTGTGGTGGCCCAGGGCTTTGTTACTGGCTGTATGTTCAGGGTATGTGTCCAGGGACATGGTGTGTGGTCACTGGTTCAGATCTGTGCCTCTTTTTCTGGGTGGTTTCTATGGCTTAGGCAATTGGAGGTATCTGGAAGGCTGGAGGCAACTGGTGGGGGTGGCCCTTGACTTGGCCAAAGTGACCATCACTCTGGTCCCCATTGGTACCAGGGATCCCCCTAGGGAAGGAGAGAGCCGGAGGTTGGAGCTCCTCTGCTTACCCTTACTTCTGCACCATTATTCTGAAGCCTCAAGAAAACATTACAGATTTTAAGGCATTGTAAACACCTGATGGCTTAGCATCCTCCTTCTCTCTCATAATCTTTCTGCATGATGTGTTGGTTTTCATTATTATTTTACCACAAGATTAAATTTCTGAAAAAATATCAGCCTACATCAGACATAATAAAAGAACAGCACAAAGGTCACATCTTCTGCCTGAGTTAAAAGAGACTGTTTTTCAGCTGTGGAAATTAATACCTCCTTCGCACTCTGAGCAACAAGGCTTTGAGGGAAAGGTTCCTTTCCTTAGAGCATGCTGCCTGCAGCCACTTAAAGAGATGGAAGGCAGCTCCTTGGTGCACGTGCTCCAGCCCTAAGGGGTGTTTTGAACAGCATTTTGGTTTGCTGCACAATCCAGTCCCACAGAATACTACACAACACATGGCAACTCGGCGCGGCAGCAGCCTGCCCCTTTCTTTGCTGCGTGCCTCTGACGAGTACTGTCTGTCTGCTCATATGAGGCTCATTTCTTCTTTTCTACATTTGATGTACATTGCCGTGGTTCACATGTGCCGCAGTGTCTCCAGTGTCCTCTTGTATTTCTTTGGAATACATCTCTCGTTTTGCTCCTGGTATCTGTATTTTAAAAATGCGAAGAGTGGTTATGTCATCAGGGGGCAGATATGCCCAAGTCCCAGTTTATCTACTACAAGCATCTTCTCATCCAAACGTATTGTGTGGATCAACGAAAGACTTCTTACTGCAGGAACTAAATGTTCTGACAAGCCAGAAATGTCCAAGTGCTATTATGCTCCACTCAAAGGACCCCTCTTTAGAGACAAAAATGATAATTTTATGCCCCTGAAGTGGAACTACAAGTACCATTTCAAGCCTTGTCTGTAATTAGCGGCTCTTTCAGGTTTCTCTGGCAGAAATGGACTTATTTTACCTAGTGAATTGGATGTTGGCAGTCCCGAACGGCCTGGTTAGACATACAGTATCAGTCGGTATACTTGGCTTGACCTCTCATCTGTGCTGGGAAGAGGGAAAGAAAGAAATTCAGATGAGGTATCTAAAACCCACAGTTTCCTTGGATTCCAGTTTAAGTGTCTGGATAACCAATATGTTCACAAAGGACTCATAGCCCCAGCTGAGCTCCGAAAGCCTAGGGGAATTCTGTCAGTGACTTCCATAGAAAGGAGATTGAGTATCCGTAAGCTTTGTGTGCTGAAAACCTGGGCAGGGGTGAGTCCCAGATAGCACAGTGCTCTCTGAAAGGGCCAGCCCATGAAGTCTCTAAAGCTTGGTAGCCCACGGAAAGTTTACTGCCATGGAGTTTGTCATTTTCATTTCCCTCTCTGTCTCCAGTTCATGCAGTTTTCTCTGCAGTGGATGTGGCCACAGCTATAGTAGCACAATTTGAGATTTCCTGAAATCCAGATCCTTTCTAGCTGTTCTGTCAAAAAACAGATAGCAGATCTTCAGTCTGCCCTACATGCTGCCAGAAGATGAGATGCTCAGCCCTGTTGGGGTAGGAAAGTGCCTCTTGGATCTTCATACCTGTGGGTTTATGATGACGCACGGGAGTTCACATTCTCCAGATCAGACACGTAGATGAAAGCACAGTTGTCTCCACCCTTTAGCAGCAGTTCTCAAATGTGCCTTGATTCCGTCTCCTCAATAGCAAATGCACAGATGAAAGTGGGGAGGAATGAACATGTGGAGGGAGACATGAATCAAGTGCAATCCCATTATGTTCCCTTCTTAAATATTATTTCATCAGCCAGACAGATATAACTTGACAGCTACGCAGCAGCACTTAGCATTTGCATAACATCGCGTTCTCTCCAGGCAACCTGGCCTGCCTTGCTTTTTTGTCTTTGCAGCCTGCTGTTCATACAGACAGGCATTTTTATGGGCAGCCAAGTCATTTTGTGTGCTGTCCAAGCGGTGATTTTTCTCTCTTTGACATTACTTCTGCAAGATGTATGACAGCAGGTCTCCATCACTAATGTGCACACGCATGGACTTTTGTATTCACATGCCTGAATCTCTTAAACACCTATGAAAAATGAAAAGCTGGAACTTTGCATGACATAACAGATGAATCTGAGCACTTGAAAACTAGGCTGACAGGAAGTAGATATAAATTTTGAGGTTTGTCCGAGGTCTTGTCTGAGACATATACCACCCTAGATACTTCTGAAGGGAGTTACATCAGAAGTCCTATGGTCCATCATCTGTACTATAAACAATAAGATTCCTGTGTTGAAAACAAGTGTTACTTGAAATGCAGAAGAAGATAAATGTTTGAGGAGGAGGGTGACTCAGAGTGCTAGTGACAGGCCTTAATTCACCTTCTGGCTATTAACTGAAAATCTTTCCCTAGTACAGTGTATACTCATGTTTAAATACAAATCATTGATCGCTATAGCAACCCCTTTATCACACGAAGCACATTCTAGCTCTAAGATAAAAAGGCACTTTTGAACAGAAATGCGCACGCCCACTCATCAAAGGGTAAGGTGAGCATCCATGTTTTTTATCTTGTTTTGTCAAGATGATTTTTGTTTTAAAAGTAGGTAAAAGATTGTGTGTGAATTGGTCTGCGCATGTTTTGATTGTTTATTTTGAATTTTTATTCTGAATGTATTAGTATCCAAACTGAACAGAAGGAACAGATGCTTCTTTTGGGAGATTTAAAAAGGGAATAAAGAATCAATATGTATTTAATCAGACTGTTTTTCTTGATTATCATTGCTTTAGCTGTAGGAAATGTATTGAATTATAGGGTAGCATCTAGGAATGGAATTTCCATTCTGCAAGAAATTCTGATATGGTGATTTCCCCTCCCATCAAATTGAGCACAGTGCTTATTTTTTTTTTAATTTCCAGCAGAACAAAATACCCCCAAAATTAGCAGGCTTGACTGAATTGTTTGATTTTGGTAACGTAAGAAAATTCATTTTGAAAAAAATCCAGTGTGTGTTCAAAGTGATAGGTTAAGTTGTTTTTTTTTTAACCAGATGAAACCAGAAAGTGTTACTAATGCCTCAAAATTGACTTGAATGAAATTTAAAAAGTTCCTTTGCTCAGTTCTTCCCTGTGTAGAATTTTTGCCAAATTAACAATATTTAAATGTTTGAATGTTGAAACTTTTTGTTGGAAGTATTTCAACAAGTGCTGTTGCTTACTAGATTGTATGGGGAATATTACACAAAATCAGGCAATTAACTCTCACTGGCCTTTCAAGAAACAGTGAGGTCCTATTTTGCAGGGCATCTGCCTACACTTGCAAGCACAAGTGAGAATAACAATTTTTTTCAAGTAGAGTTGGGATCACGGACAGTTGACCTCCAATGGAGGTTTTACTTCTTTCTTCTCTTTGCAGGAACATAATGAAGTGAACAGTGTACCAGCTCATCATGGTGCTCATGAGCCCATCTGTAAATGTGGTGATCTAGATGTCATCTTCAACTATAAAGTCTCAAGTCAAAAGCTTGTAGTAACTGTCTTTGAGGCCAGGAATATCCCAGACAAAGACCGCAGTGGTGTGAACACCTGGCAAGTGCACACAGTCCTGATGCCTAGCAAGAAACAGAGGGGTAAGACAAGTGTTCAGAGAGGACCCGTCCCCGTGTTCAAGGATAAAATTACCTTCAGTAAGCTGGAGCCAGGGGAGTTAAGCACCCACGCCATTCGCTTCCGCCTCTATGCGGTGCACAAGATGATTGGAGAGAAGATGATGGGAGAGCAGTTGTTCTATCTGAGCAACATCAGCCAGGAGAGGGAAGTGAAGGTGACATTGGTCTTGGAGCCGAGGAGTAATTTGAGCGTAAGTTTGATGATAGAAATATGGAGTCCATAAAATTGTTCTTCTGGTGAATGGGGACCAGCTGTGCCTGATATTTTTCATTCAAGGCATGTTATGTTAGGATGTTAGGATGCAAGTGGTGGATCTGTCCTACTGTGACTTAAAAAGTTATCAGTAAGGGGAAGCACAGGGCATGTCTTCCCTACACAATGCTGTGCCTTACTAATAATGGCTCAGCTAGCAAGCTTACACAAAATCATGTAGGTGTACTACATCTACACAAGTCATCAAATGCTCTGCCATGAAGAAATAGTAGGTTGGTTCTGGAACCACCGAGGCTGATTAAGTCTTAATTTCAACGAGGACAGTATTCTTGTGCACTGTAATGTTGGTGGACCTGTACTACTGCCAGTGCAAGAGCTGCCTCGCTTGGCAGTAGCTGCTAGCTTGTGGATCTCTGCGTTGTGCAGTTTCCATGTTACCAGAAATGCTTAGTAATGTTCCTTTTCATGACAGATGGAAGTGGAGATATAGGTCATGTGAGGAGGAACTGGCTCTGCTGCTTCATAGTCTTCCGTGCACATCACAGTTATATCCAGCTCTGGCTATGCCAATCAATTTGTGTAGATGAGCTCTGTCATGATTCATTGTCTACAAAAAGCTCAGTGAGAGGTTGTGCACACTAAATGAATAAAACATCATACTCTGGGTGAAGAGGGGGTAGAGGGAGCATCATAGTAACAAGGAAAGAAAGTAGGAAAATACACAGTACATGACCCAAAAAACCCAAACTGCAAACTGCATTCCATCCAAAAGTCATTGTCAAGGAGATTTACTGTGCAATGATGTACTAGGATATATGCTTATCTCAGAAGCTTTGATTTACACTAGTGGTAACACATTATGCAGAGTTCTTCATCTTTAAAGAGAAAGTTCAGAGAGGTGTTTTTGTAAAAGCGATGCTCTGATTCTTCTGGTGTCCCATAATAATTAATTCTTAGTCATTGTCATTTCTTAAGAGAGATCTTCCTAAACAAGGCTACAAGATATAAATTAAGGGAGGGTGGTGGTGAACGTCCTGATGAGACTTTCAGTGCTCTTTCCCTGCAGAGTGCAGACTCTCAGCTTAGTCTATCAGCAATCTCTCACAGTGATAGCGCTTCTTCAACACAGTCCCTGTCGCATGGAGGGGTGCCAGAGCTGCTCGTGGGATTGTCGTACAATGCCACTACGGGGCGGCTGTCAGTGGAGATGATCAAAGGCAGTCATTTCCGAAACCTCGCAATTAATAGGCCACCTGGTAAGTACTTTCACTGCTATTAAATAACACCATTGAGTCAAAATTTGCTTTTTATTTTCTTCCTCAAGATACTCAATTATGTAATTTCTGAGCTGGGCTTCCTTGCAGAGTATCTGATTGAAAATTAAAAGCATTATTTCAAATACATGTACTGGTAAATTTTACAGTGTAATTGGAGGCAATCATATGGAGACACAGCTGATGGGACAGTAATACCTGAATGTCTCTTTTATTGCATATACCTTTACAACATCTGATTATGGCAAAAGTGTTATTATACCCAAAGCACAGAGTAATTCTCAGCAGATCCATAAAAAGAAGTGCTTTTCCAAGTGATTGTGTATTACCACGTGAGCTGCAGAGGCCCTGCCTAGTGCTATTAAGTGTTTCCCAGGGCTGTACTTTGTTTAGTCCCCTTGCTGTGCCGCTGAGTGCTAGGTGACCTGGTCCTTTGGGGATCCTGCTGCTGTGAATTCTCTGCTGCTGCACAAAATAATCTTCTGCAGAAAGATTTGAAAGTTGTTCTTCTGGGTTGAAACAGTTGAGTTCCCTTCCTCCTAGAGGAAAAAAATGGAAATTGCCTTAGAGTAGGTTTAGTTAGTCCCAGAGCTGTAGCTAGTTGTTGAGTTGTATGGTGAATGGATGGTGCTAATGCTTACAATATAGATGGGGTCATGCAGCCGCAGTGCATGGTGCTATCTGCTTTGCTGCTGGTGTGCCTCATCCAGGGGTTGAATGGCAGTGCTGTGGTCATCTCGTATTGTCCTTTTGCCTCCTGTCTGAAACCAGCAGCTAATGGCAGTGCAAAAAAATTTTTTGTTTGTTGGTCTGTTTGCTTTTTGTGATGTGATTGCCTGCCTGTTAAAGGTAAAAACCTTTGTGTTTGGCTGGATTTGACATAGCATCTCCAGCTTGCAGAATGCTAAGATTGCTTCTGCAAGTTGCTGTGCTCTTTGGCCCAGAGCTAGCAAAATATTTACGTAATATAGTTCAGTGTATGGATGGGAAAACTTAAATTTCCACTAGACTATACTTCAGTGTATTACAGAAATAATCTGTCTCATGAGTCAGTCCCTTGAAAATTAAGGGCAAGTGTATGCAACAGTAAAACACAAGACCCCAGTCTGTGTAGCTCTAGGTAGTCTTACATTAGCTGTGGCAACATAGGTCTCCATGTTACTTAAAGACATATTTTTGTTTGCATGTGCATGTTTTATTAAAAGGTTTCAAGTTGGGACCACAAAGGTAGACTAAGACAAGAGTCTTACCACATGCTCTAGCAAGCAAGCTCACCTGTGTTTATATATGCTGCAATGTAGATACGTCCTAAAGTTTTGTTCTCAGAAATGAAATTAAAACAGTCCCAATATAGGTCTAAGTTAATTTGCTGCCTTTTTTTTTTTTCTGGCATGTTTTCAATTATCTACCTGTGGTATTGGAGTTTTGTCTCTTAGCTGCCCGAAGATGAGGATTATGATGCACTTCCATTCTTAAATCAGGCCCTGAATAAGTTGTCTCGTATCCGGTTGGGTCAGGAATCTGTAATGCCCCACTTTTTTTCCCATAAATTAAATGTCTTCACCACAGAGAACTCAAATGATTGCCTTCCAGCTTACTACCTGCAATATCAGGACCAAATTACTGTCATTTTTTGGTATTCTAAGAAATGTCTTTCTGGGTGCATGTTGTGCAGCTCTGTGTGTTGCAGTAAGCAGAGCAACCCTGCGACTCACGGTCCGTGAGTGCTGGGGAGTTGTGTCTGTCCTGGGCCTCTGGTGGGATGGGGTTTGGCAGATAGCTGTGTGTGCACAGGTTAGCTTTTTTTAGATGCCTCATTCAGCTTTTTAGTTGGCTAGGAGCACAGGAGTGCAGTAGCTTGTTTGGCAGCATCTTCAAACCTGGTAAGTATTTTGTGTTTGTTGATGAGATGAGAACAGGAGCCGGATATGGGAAAAGGAGGTGTTCCTTGAGGAACCTTTCATTTTAAATTCTGCCTGAATTTTCTGTTTCTGTGTTTTCAGGGCTTCGGATAAACCTAGTTCAATTGGTTTGATAAGCTGGCCAAAGTCTTCTGTCAGCCACCCAAATTAATAGTTCTGACATTGTTTCATGACAGCTCTTGCACCTTTGCTGTTAAGGCTATCTTGAGTTGTTTCTTTGCGTCCTTTCTGTATCCAGATCAACTTTAGCATTGTCAGACCAGTATCTCTCAGTGTGAGATCAGTTTTTAGGTGAAACATGGAAATTCATAAATGATTACAGTCAAATTCTGAACCTATCACAGTCTGCTTCTTTTATTCCAAGTCACATTGTTGCTTCTGCATTCTGCATTGTTCTTCTGTGCCTGTAAAGTTCCCAGTAATGTGGTGAGAGAAAAGGAAAACCCAGTGAAGCAGAAATTGAAAGAAGTTAAAAAGAAGGAATAAAACCAGCACTTGTCTCAGATGCTGTGAGACCTGATCGTTACTGTCTGAAACATGCTGGTGGCAGAATGAGATGCTCGATAAGTCCTTCACTAGGTGAAAACTAAAACTGCTATCTCCCTTTCTGGAGGGTGAGCAAATAGCCCTTGTATTTTCTCAAATATGACCTATCTGTGGTTCTGTTGTTTGAAGCTCAGAGGGAGTGATTTATTTCTTTCAAGTATCATGGGGATTTCAGATATTATAGCGCTTCAGGACACTTAAATACCAAGCCCAAACTGCTATTCAGGGCAGCCATTTATGGTAAGGCTGAGAGAAGTCAATGGGCAGAATCCATCTCCATTCCTAGCCCTGCATGCACAGAGCCTATACAGTGCCCATATGTGGTCCTGTTGCAGCCCAGTGGCTTTAGTATTGTCTGCTGCTGGCAGCTGCAGCTGTGGGGAATGACAGGAGAGCCTTGCATGACAGCAGATTCTCCAGCTGTGCTTTCTGCCCACCTTGACCCTCTTGTCTACCACCTGCGGTCCTGCACAGCTGAGCTCAGCATCTCCTGCGCTGTACGTGCTCCCTCCTTGTCACCCTCGCACTGGGATTTCACTGCGTGCAGAAGGAACTGGGTGATTTTAGGTGTTAAAGATTTCAGAGGCTAAACCAGATGGTTTTCTGGAGAAGGAAAGGAAAATTGTGCACGTGTTTCAGTTTTTCCTGGGCAATCATCTCTTTCACTTAAACCTTTAAACTGAGTCAGTTTAATATCAAAGTGGTGGGTGCTTACATAGGTTAGAAAACAGCTGGACAGCTTACAGAGACTTAAATCTTGCAGGCAGTGTCTTCTTTTCAGGTCACATATGTGGGATTTAAGGATAGCCTGGTCAAGAGTAAGCGTCCAGGTGTTGTTCTGGGGAACATGCTGAGTTACAGGCCTGAGTCTACAATCCCTGATCACGCAAATAGATGCATTATCACTCAGAGCACTTAAGAGCACTCAAGAGTATGGCTGCAGCATCGGACCATAAATTATCAGTGTGTGCCAAAAAGCCTCATGCAGAAAAGCATCTACAGTTTTGTCAGATGTGGACACCCTTGGTATTTTAGCGCTAATGGCTTGTCTGCTGTGCACCTCATTCTCTTTGGTTCTTGTAAAAATCATTAACCCGTGCTAGCATTTTGTAGGGGTTCATATTTTGGTCTGTGATACTGTATCTTCTTAGAACAAAACACAGCATGTTCGTTTAAAGGATGTTTACTATAAAAAAAGTAACAAGAGAAGCCTACACCACTGGTAGTCATATCTTTAAAAATTTATAACTAGTTACATACTATATGCATGGTAGTAGTACCTTGGGATTGTAGTGATGGACCAGGAATTATTTGTGCTAGTCAGTGCATAAACATGCAACAGAGAGATGGTCTCTGCCCACATAATGTTTAACCTTCATCAGCTGCTCTGCTGGGTGCAACTCTCCTCTAATCCAGCCTTCATTCTTTCCACTTTAGCATTTCTTTTGGGGTTTATGTCTGTGTGTAATGCAATTTGAGAAGGACTATTGTAAAGTTATTCCCTTGCCTAAGAAAAGTCCTCTAAGCTTTTCAGCAGCTGCGGAATTAATCACACATAATAATTACATCCATACATGATCATTATTATACCAGCAGCATATTAACCTCATTAAACAAATACAATAGCATTAATGCTAGAAAAGACAGGAAGGAGAGAACAAGCTATCAGGATTTCTGTTGAGAACAGGAGAAATTCTTGAAGTAAAGACTTGTCTGAAAACAAACATCTACCTGAGCCACAGATAACAACACCAAGAGTACAGAAGATGCTCCCGTAGAAAAAGTAGGATCCTTACACAGTAATTGTTGCTCTGGTATCAGAGTGCTTGAAAGCCATTAGTGGATTTTATTTTATTGACTTGTTTGTGAGGGATGGAAGGTTATTATCCCTGTTTCATTCCTGGATAACTAAGGCACAGGTTAATTTATTTGATTGCTCCCATTCAGGCCAGGAAGCTGAATAAAAAAGAATAACTTTTTACCTGCATATCTTGTTCTGAACATCGAACTTGCTTGAGTTCCTAAAGCTTTGTAATTCATGCTTCCATCTCATCAGTAGTAGAAGGTGGGATCTATTTTAGAGCAAGCTGGGGTGGATTCAGTCCTCCAGAGAGCTTGGTTAACAGAACAGTAGAGGTGCTGGGCAGCTTCTTGCTGCCGAGTACTTGCCAGTCAGCGACAGTAAACTTGTACAAGACCACCTCTCCTTCTGCACCTTTTAGTTGCCCATCCTTGAAAATATCTTGAATAAACTTGCAGTAAGATCTACCAAGAAAGGTGGAAGATGAAATGTGGATGAATGTAAGGTATTGCATGGGGGCAGGGGTGGAATTCAAACTTAATCTGTATGGGCTCAGAGCCACTTGGGAGTGAAATATTAGGCTTCTAGTAAATAACTCCAGGAAAGTGTCCACTCGGTGATCAGCAGTATCAGTGAAAAAAAAAACCAAGTTAAAGGTTAGAACTATACAGAGGACAAAATGAAAAATTGATATTTGAATGTAAATATACAGT